CTGGGAAGGTGACGTGCTTTTGATGATGTTTTTCTATGGTCTGATTATAAATTTATAATGAAAATGGTATTTAATTTCAGCTGCAGAACCATTTTACAATAATACTTTCTATACCCCATTTACCTACATGTTTAATGCAAAGGAAATTGCTAGATACTGGATTTTCCTGAGGATTTCTAATTCAAATATCTTGCATTCCAAGTTAAGGTCCACTGAAAATTCAATTGGATATACTTTGCTTTGTTTCTTTCAGCAACAGAAATTTATATTTAGATTACACAGTCTTCATTCAAAATATTTCATTTTTTGAAAAAATGTTCATGCTGGGCATCAAATTACTATTTGCTAATTATTTATGATTATAGGTTAAAACTGATTGAAATTTCAGTCTTTATTGCAGTAAATATTTCATAAAATATTACTACAGCTTAATGATTCTGAGCCTGGCCTTTGATATTATATATTATCCAGTTAGTATTGACTTTACTAGCACACAGCTAGATTTTCTGATGACCTGCCTCTTACCTGATTCTTCCAGTCTTCCAACATTACACCGATTCCTTTTGTAACTAAGTCCATGCACCTTACTACTGCATATCCTCTTCTTATCTTTCTTTCCATCTTTCCCTATCATAGCTTTCTCCAGAGTACAATCTCTTTCCATAATGTATTCAAAGTATGTTATTTGAGCCTAGTGATGTACACTTCAAGTGGGAACTTTGAGTTGATTTGTTCAATGATCCATTTATTTGTTTTTTTGACTGTTCACTGCATTCTCAGAAGTTTTCTTCTATACCAAATTCCAAAAGCATGAATACTGTTTTTATTCTGCTGCTTTAAAGCCCAATTCTTACTTCCATGGTGTTTTCATGGCTTGCATTCTTGTGATCTTTCTGGGTATAAACACAACACATTACCTGAATAGCATTTCCACAACTTTTATGACTACTTTGTAAAATCCTACCATAGTCTATGACATGTTTCCTGGTGGCTTTTTTCCTTTATTGTTGATGGCTGATTCTAAAAGACAGAAGGTATTTACCACTTCAATATCAATTCTAAAACTAGTTGTTGTACATTTTATCACTAATTTGGTCTTCTTCATATTTTATCTTAGTCCCATTTTAGTTTTAAAAAATCCACAAGAAGTAATAGCAGTAATAGCAATAGCAGTAGACTTATATACCGCTTCATAGGCCTTTCAGGCCTCTCTAAGCGGTTTACAGAGAGTCAGCATATTGC